GAACATGGGGAACCCATACATCGAGCTTCGAGGATAATCCCAGGCCTTTCAAGTGGTCATAAACTGTTGAATTTGATAAATTTAACCTCAATCCGATCTCACGTGTTGTTATTCGCCGGTTCACATCAACTAATGCCTTTATCGCGTCTTTATCAGCTTCAACCGGCCTTCCCGAACGTGGTGCATCTTCGACATCAAAATTGCCGGATCGAAATTTAGCGAACCAGTTCTGGCACTGGCGTACTGTCAACACACCTTCTCCATACACATCAGTCAATTTCTTTCTGGCTTGAACAGCATTTTTACCCTTTCTGTAGTAAAACAGTAAGATATGTCGAAAATGCTGCTTATCGCTCTCCATATTTAAAAGGGCACCAACCAAAAACTACTGCGTAGAATTAATTGGAATTTTTCACACACAAGCCTTGCTATATGAGCTCTCAAAGCATATAAAAATTATACGGCTTAAATGTGAAGTTGGGTGCAAAAGAATACAATTAAATCCTCTGTCGGGAAAAGGCGAAATGACTTTCCGAACAACCCAATAGATGTTTCGGTTCAGTGAATTTGAACGCATCCTAAATTACTGATAGTGAAAATAAAGTTATATAAAAGAAAGTATTTTCGTTCTCCATTTTGTTGAATTCAAAATGGCGGATGATGATAGTATCAGTACCTTTACTACTTTGGTAATAATAACAGTTTTAGAAGAAAAGCATTGAAAAGACGACAAAGTTTTAGGCCTGGTTGTTGTTGATATAAATTGAAGAAGAAGAATAAGAAGAAGACCAATTGAATCTGTTGAACTAAATTCGACTTCATATATCTATTATACATTCTGATCCCATCATTTTCCTTTCCGTTGCAAATTCCTTTTGGCAACGAAATCCTCCAAAAGGTAAGATTAAACGTTGTACATCGAATCAAAAAAATAAATTCGCTTTGGCACCCGGTGCTTTTGAAATGTCCGGTGTTTGGAAAACATCAATGAATAAATATGAGAGCCACGAAATAAGCTACGAAATTGGAAAATACACGAGGCAAGGAAAACATCAAGTGAAAACGAAAAAAATGTCCACGTTAATTTAGCAGTGGATTTTTTCTATCATTTTTGGCACTGCGTATATTGTATGAAATAAAAAGATTGGCTTTTACATGGCATGCAAAATTAAGCGTCAATCGAAAAAGTGGTTTTCGTAATTTGCATGCATATACGTTCGGGTTTGCCACATTAGGGTAATTTTGTTAATAATATACCAGTCGCTAAAGTTGGTTTATGATTGATAAAATCAAATCCGCAGGATGACTAAAATTTAATTTAGATTACCAAGATGACGCATGGAAAGGTCCCCTTTTCATTTTTAATCAAGCAGAATAAATCAATGTTTACCGATTCTAAATCGATGTATATTGATTTTTATTATTCTTCTACAGAATCTTATTTGGAGCTGATGAATTTAAAACAGTGTAGATATTCAGTGTTGTCAGTTTCATTGTCTGACAATTGTTAACGTTAAAAACATACCTAATTTAAGAATATATGAATTTGTTAAAAAATATTTTTCTAAATGGTACGACGTCCACGGATTTCGAGAAAAACTTATTCGAAAGTACAGTCAAGGGCCAGACCGGCCCTGGTAGGATCACGCAGTGAAATACAACATATTTAAATTCGTAATCGAAGACATGGTTTAAATAAATACATAATTATTATTATGCATATAAACATGTAAAAAGGATTACGATATCGCGATGCGTGTACATACATAAATATACAATGTCTTCATTTGCCTTTTTTTCATTGGCAAAATTTGTGACTTAGGTACGTGTAGTTTTTGACCTCCCTGTACATAATGATATATCCTACGCGTTAGGGTGAAGATATTTATAGAACTAATTAGATTTATTCTCGTCTCATATGGCAATTAAGACTCGTGTAGTGATTATCTGCGAAGAACTAGTTTCTTATTAGCGTTGCCAACTTTGATTTATTAGCAGACGTTTCCACCTTCAGATATGAATACTCTTCGTTCTCCACGTTCGGAATAGTCGCACGTAGATGAATATTTTCGAGGCCCGTCCGGTGTCATTTTGATTTACACAATTTACAAAAAGTGGTTACAGTAACCTTGTTCACTTTTATGGTCTTGTCGATCACGTCAGTATTTAGATAATATTTAAGTACCTATACAATGTATCATTTGCAAGGTTAAATATACTTTACACTGTATCCCACGGCTCGACTTCAACCGTCTTATTATAGGGTAAAAAATAATAATCGTTCGACAAAATTGCACGATTGGGCACACACGTAATATTTTCAGTTACATTATATTTTAAATGTATTATAAAATTTAGCAATCGATTATCGAAATATTCAATAATTATTGAAATTAATTGGAATGTTTCATTAGGGAGTATAGTCACAGGAGCATTCGTGCTTCTATTCTGCATTTATAAGCAAAAATAATAACGTTTGCAACCAACTTCATCCAGTGTGTTATCTTCAAGTAATTATTTCTCTAATGAACAATATGATTAATGGATTACGCCAATTCATTTGAATAATCGATTATTTCTTCAAAAGAAGAAAAATAATTTTTGGATGATCTGTTGAAAAAGTTGCCGCAAGCGATCGATACCAGCGGCATCTTTGATGCGCCTGAAAGGCGACAGGAGGAGGTGATACAGTGGGCAAAACTGGCACGACGCAATGATTCCAGCAGGAAAGAGTCGATAAAAGACAGTAGATATAAATATTTCGCGAATAAGAGAAGTGAACAGTGATATAAATAAATATAAGTATAATAATGTGCGTTTAGTACATTCAACAAGCTGTTTAGGTAATCTATAATGAACTATTTGGTACCATACTATTTCTTTGATAAGATTAAACATTAATTTTCGTTATTTCGGTTCAGTTAAATTGAATAAACAAAAAAAATTTCAGTTTTTGTAAGCTTTGGCATTATACGGGTGCGAAACATGGACAGTGGGCGCGGCGGAAGAGAAAAGGTTAGAAGCGTTCGAAATGTGGTGTTATAGGCGGATGATGAGGATAACGTGGGTAAAAAAGGTTAGAAATGAAGAGGTATTGGAAAGAATAGAAGAACAGAGGACTCTATGGATGTCAATAAAAAATAGGCGAGATAGGTTGGTAGGACACCTTCTTAGGCATGAATGTCTAGTCAGAGACATATTAGAGGCAGAAACAGGAGTTAGGAGTGGTATAGGTAGATCTAGATTAGATTACCGTTCGCAAGTATTGTAGTTACGGATGTGGGCTGTTCTAGTTTTAGGGAAATGCGAAGTTTAGCTCAAGATAGGAAAGAGTGGAGGTACATGTCCAACCAGTCTTAGGATTGACGACTTTATGATGATGATGATGATGAAATCAGCTTTGGGAAGAATCTTTTAATAATAACTTAAAAAAATGGAACATTATAACACGTTAAAATTGCATACATTTTTGACGTCTGAAACACTTCAGTTATGGATGTTGCGTCACACGGTCAGAGCCGCAAGAAATCGATGGAAACAGAAATATCTTTAATAATTTATCTTGAAACTTGTTTTAGTCATAGAATTAGCATAAAAGTTTCGTTTGCTTACGATGCATTTCTAAGTAAAAAAGTTGCGACTTTTGTACAAAATGTAGTGAAACGTGTCGCTGGTATCATTTCTACGTCGTTGATAAACGGGTATGTCACAGATAAAATGGCACATCTACATACGAAAGCGTATGTAGACAAATATAAATTGTGTTTATGTTAGATCGTAAATAAATGCAGGGTAGGTAGTTCGTCAATTGGTGCACTTTCCATTAGCGTTTTAAAGTCACCGGTGCATTCACGTTGCGATATTCCCAAATGGCGACAACAACGGGTTCCAGATATGAATATTATTTCGAATCGAGAGAACGCCGCGCCGTTTAATTCATTTCTGTACCGAAGGCTTAATATTTCAACACGTTCCGCAATTACACATAGTCACTTCGATACAAATACACGCATTCATAAATTATTAGCAAATGTTCGACTGTAATTAAAACGACGTGCGACCGGTACAAAACGCAATTGCAATCTAATGACGAGGTGCTGATATGAAATGCAACTGTTATTTGAATAATAAATTTTCAAAACTTAAAAACAAAAACAGGTATTAACGGTATCGATGCGTTATTAACACTTATTTCTAGATACGTTATTATGTAAGTACTTCTGATGTGGAATATTTATATTCTGAAAATTTTTAAAATATTTGCATTATTTTTAGACTACTACATTGTAATAAAGACCATTAAGTTGTTGGTCAGTAATTTGTCGAAACGACAAACGTAAATCGCTATTTCGAAATTATTACTTCTCATCAGCACGCCACTCCCAATAAATTAGATAACTTTATAGAGTATTTTCAAACATTTGAACTACTATTATTGGCATCGCTATAACTATAGTATCTGTTGATTCAAACAACATTTGAACTTTTTTCCTCATTAATTTGAGGAAGTGTGTAGTGGGTAAAAATTCTGAAATGAATTTTCAAGAATAATATTTCATATTTGAACTTCAATTTGTATATGGGAAAATACCCGTACATTGAATAAAAGAAGAAGTATGCTAGGTATACGGGGCGACAGCACATCAAAATCTGTTTTTAACTAATGTAATATAGTACCACCACACCAGGATTTTTTTAAATCATTTTATCTATAACTTCTTCCACTTAATACTTTTTTATGTATTTGCATCTTAGGCATACGAAGACGAATGAAAAATGATGTTTAGAGGTCGATTTTCCGTTTCTTATCAATATTGTAGCATTCAATGTTTTTAGTTTTTTTTTTAATTTTCTTCTGTTTATGAATTTGATTTAAGAAAACAAGTAAGTTTCATTTCTTAAAGGAATATCATTTTCTCTAAAAACGTTGCTCATTAAACGACATAATTCAAATTAACATTTTCTTTAGGAGAACAAGTTATAATTAGAGGTTTTCATACCTGTATGTCTGTTAGAGTTGTTCTCGAATGATGGCTGAGTCGACATACCATCTCGCCAGTGTCTCCATAGTCAAACGATCTGCAGCGATACGGTGACGACAAACAAAGTTCGCGGCACTCGTCCACCGATCCAACATCCTGGAGAAAAAAATAAAAAATGTATTACTCATTTATATAGATGTCTTTAATTGCGGTAATTAGAAAAGTTTTATCTACACATCGTAATTAGTAGTCGAAGGACTTACTTGATAAACAGAATCCACAGTTTTCAAAATTCGACTGGGTAGCTTCTTGAACTCGCACATTTTCTTAGGTTTCTCTATACAGTTATTTTCGAGATAGTCGTAGTCATCTGCCCTTTCTAAACTTTTTCTTCCCATCAACGTCGTCCTGTCCATGTCAGACAATTCGCAGATGTTTGTTTTCTCATTATAACTTGCGGATCTGTAAAACAGATTTCAATAACTTCCTCAGGATGTCAGAGCAATTTCTTACTTTTTTTTTTTACCAATATCATATTTGATAAATATAATACTTGAAGTCAAATTTATCTGGTGTGTTAAAACACAGGAAACCCTTTTAGTTTATTTTTTCATTATTTATTAAAATATCAGTAAAAATATTTATAAGGTCCTTTAAAGAAGCTTCGTTAATTTTAAGTCCTTCAAAGACAAAAGAAAGCCTTGGTACTCGTAGCATACAGGCACATTTTATATGGTGTGTGCACTTCATTTTACTAAAGTGGTAAAATAAAAGATGTAGTGATTCAAAAAGCACTGTTTCCCTCATCTGCCATCCCCGAATGTCGCCCCCCTCATTTACGTTACTAGTTTTCAATACTTTGAAATCTAACAAATTAATTTTTTTCTTCAGTTCTGGTGGAGGAGCTGGACAAACAGGAAATGGCTAATAGATGGCGATGTACTGCTTGTATCTGGATATTACATCAAATTGCTCTTTAGGAGCATCTTCGGTTTGATAAATAATTTATCGAATTTGCTTTCGGCGTGCCTAAGATAGCGATCTACTTCTGGCAGTTTAGATTTTCTGACCAAGAAATTAAACGTTGCAAGGGAAGAATAAGTAGGGAATGAGCGAATATAAAGATAGGAGACGAAAAATTAGAAGTGGCTAATTTTAGATATCTAGGAAGTCAGATAAGTCAGGACGGAAGGAGTAATAGGGATATAAAGCAGAGGATAGCGCAGGGTCGTGTCGCCTTTAAAAAAAGAAGTCACTTCTATGCTCGCGAACGGTTAATTTAGAAATTCGAAAAAGGTTGTTAAAGGTGTATGTTTGGAGCACGGCGCTGTACGGATGCGAAACATGGATAGTGGGCGTGGCGGAAAAGAAAGGGTTAAAAGCTTTCGAAATGTGGTGTTATAGGCGAATGATGAGGATAACGTGGGTAGAAAAGGTTAGAAATGAAGAGGTATTGGAAAGAATAGGAGAACAGAGGACTCTATGGAAGTCAATAAAAAATAGGCTAGGTAGGTTGGTAGGACATCTTCTCAGGCATGAAGGTCTAGTCAGAGACATATTAGAGGCAGAAACAGGAGTTAGGAGGGGTAGAGGTAGACCTAGATTAGATTACTGTTCGCAAATAGTTAAGGATGTGGGCTGTTCTAGTTTTAGGGAAATGCGAAGTTTAGCTCAGGATAGGAAAGAGTGGAGGTACGTGTCTAACCAGTCTTAAGACTGACGACCCTATGATGGTGATGTAAGGAGGGTAATACCTTAAATTAATTCGTCGGTTAGTTTCTTTAGTTAACTATATAAATAACTAATGTAACGAACGGTCATTATGTCTAAAAGAAAAGCTGTTCCGAACAAGCAGCGGGGCTATTTCGAGAAAACGAATAGCTGCTAACGAATCAATTACTTATTCGCTACCGGAGCTCGTTACATTTATTGTTTTGAAATGCCCGTAACTTTAAGCAGAATTCTTCAAGTAAACGTAAATCAAAATTACAAGCATCCCATGTTTCCAAACAGAATAAGAAACTTTATGCCGTTCTTGTTTAGCGAAGGAGAATTAAGTAACGGATTTTAATTCTGACCTGCAGGGAAATCCCTCTTCCATGATGCACAATTCGGCGCAGTGTAGTCGTGAAGTCGCAGGCTGTTGCTTTTTCTCGTATCCGCTTAACTTGTGATGTCGCACTCTGTCGACACTCCATGCTCTTTGTTCGCACGCCGGTAGCAATGATCGTGATTTTAAGCACATTTTCTGAGCGTAAATTGTGAATACTGGAAACTGCGATTTTGCTAGAGCATCTGGAAAATAAATAGCTTTAAGGAAATATGTGGTAGCAATCAAAATTAATTGTTTAACAATTAATACATATAATAGTGATGTCAATATTATAATCATTCGTCACTTGATAGTAATGGTAATAATCGAGTACCACCTTCGGAAAGTAATCGTTACCGATTGCTGAACGCAAATGTAGCATATAAGAAAAGGCTGCGCGTATCGATACCACCGAGCGGCATGGCCGAAAGGTTTAGACCACTGCTTAGCATTCGAGAGGATGCGGGTTCGAACCCCGGGAGGTACGTCTGCCATCGTCTAGGGTTGTGCTTTCGAATGCTGGGAATTCTGTTGTCTGTTCATCGATGGTAATCGTAATCATTTCCCTAACAGTTGCTATTGTATCAATAGTTACCAAAAACTGATGATACCGGCATGAGAACTATGGTGTTTCAAATTGATCAAAGTAAACTAATGTTGCATGCGACTGACGCGATGTTTTTAGAACGAGTTGTTAGGAGCACGCGCTAGTCGAAAGCCTATAAAGTAGTATTTTAATGAAGTAAGCGGATAGTAAAATAATTCCGATTACGGTTTTATTGAAATTTGAGAGTGGAACGGCATACCGGGTTGCGTCAGTACGGCTCTTCATCCTTCGTCCCGCAAAATTCAGAATATGCATTTATCTGTTTACCGTTGCACAATACCGTTTGTTTTCTCTGAGTACTGTTTGTGAGGCAAAACTTGCAATTAGTAAAACAATGGCCTTAATGTTCTGGCAGCACAACTCAACGGTGAATTCAGTTTCGAGGTGGTTATTAACTGCAATCTCCAATTTTGTAGAGTACACAGAAAGCCAAGTTATTAAGATCCGTTGGTAAATTGCAATGGTTCACGTCGAGAAGCGATTACTAATACGGACGGAGGCGTATCATTTCATTCCAAAATCGGAATTTCCTGCTAAACTCTGGTGGAAGAATTGATAGAAGCATTTTCATCTAATTCCAAATTCTAATGTATTTGTATAATACAAATTTTTAAACCAAGTGATGATTGAAACAATATTGTATGAAAATAAATAAAAGTAAAACAAAAATATTGGTATACAAGGGAAGAAAAAGTAGGGAAAGAGCGAATATAAAGATAGGAAATGAAAGATTACAAGAAGTGGCTGATTTTAGGTATCTAAGTCAGATAAGTCAAGATGGAAGGATTAGTAGGGATATAAAATGGAAAAGATTAGAAGCGTTCGAAATGTGGTGTTACAGGCAAATGATGAGGATACCTACCTTGGATAGAGAAGGTTAGAAATGAAGAGGTATTAGAAAGAGTAGGATAGAAAATAGGCGAGATAGATTGGTAGGACACCTTCTGAGGCATCAGTCAGAGACACATTAGAGGCAGAAACAGCAGTCAAGAGGAGTAAAATAGATCTAGATTAAATTAATTTTCACAAATAGTTAAGCATGTGGATTGTTCTAGTTTTAGGGAAATGCGAAGATTAGCTCAGGATAGGAAAGAGTGGAGGTGCGTGTCCAACCGGGCGACCTGTTGATGATGATGATGAATTTGTATATTCCCGCATGTTAATGATAATAGTTAAGGATCTAGGATGTTCTAGTGTTAGGGAAATGCGAAAATTATTCGTTTAGAAAATTGGGAAACACCGTCTATGGAACATTTAGTGATGAGCAAAGTTAGTCTTGTTCTTTTTCAGTTTTGATCTTGCATTTTCGCAAGACCATATTAGCAGACCAAGACCTGAAGTATTTGAACAAGACCAAGGCCAATATCAAGACTGTTCCGGGTCTTGCTCTTGCTTTGCTGTTTACTTTTTAAAAGTATGTCTAATTTACCCTCGGTAGCTTTTGTTGGAGTGTCCATTCCACTTAAATAATAATTTAAGTTCTTAAAGCGTGTTTGGTACGTTGAATTGTTTGGTATACAATAAACGAGACAATTTACCAAAAGGGTTGAACCATGAAACTGGAAAGTAGATACATTATACGGCAAGTGAATCGAGGATTTTTTGTTGATAAGGCGATTACGAAAAATAATCTTATCTGGCGGAAAATGTTGAAAATACAGCTGATGCGGTAACTACATATTGGTAAATCCTACGGATAAATTCACGGGATATCTCTTTAAAGGATTCCCGTTTACGAAATCTTCAAACAAGCTTAATACCGACCGATTTCCCGGGATTTGTCATAAACGGTTTACGTTGTAGATTATAGAATATCGAAAATGTAGTAAAATCTTCACAATTTTTAATGGCATTGTTCTGCGATCAAAATTTAGTTACCAAAATTTTCGTTTCGTTAATAGCAGAATGAGAATCTACACAAAATCCCCGCGCGCTTCGCAAGCTGGCGGAAAATACTCACTCGCTTTAGTATCAAATTAAATGTGATTTACATGTAGTTCCGAAATTGGTTTGAGTAATTGTTTTCTTAATTAAATCTGATAAGTTCCGTTAGAATGGTACTGAGGCCCGGACGGTTCTGTTTTCTTTACATCTCCATGCTGTGTGGTATTTACAATAAGACTCCTCCTAATTTCAGACTGCGCTACTTTAGTCGTTGCTGTAGTCCTTTAATGAATCCGCGCGTCCTTTTATACTAAAGACGAGCCTTTATCAGACAACTTTTGTATTCACTCTTATCAGCTTACATTGTCTTGTAGTGGATGTGCTTTAAAAAAAATAAAAGCATCCGTTTACAAAAAACAACCGCTCTAATTAGAAAATCGTCAAAAATATTACTTTTAAAAAACAGATTTCGCGTTCGTACATTTACATAGTGCTGCTTGTAATCTACTTGTTTGTTTTGTTTAATCTAAACATTATCTGTAGTACTAAATTCTTTATGTTTATCTTACACGTTTGATTATCGGTAATATTTACATTCTCTGTCCATGCTGCACAGTTTTTGTTGCACTACGCTAATTCACGTTTCTTATTTTCTTAAAAATGTTCAGTTCGGTCTTGGCTCGTGCGGCAGCTTCCATTGGGTGACTGAGCTTTGATTTCCACGTCATAACAACAACCCATGATTCGTCACCATTTATGACCATCTGAAGCAAAATTTGGATGTCCAACAGCTCGTTAGCAATGTTAATGCGATGCTGTTTTTGGTCGAAATTGAGCAATTTTGGTAGGAATTTCGCGACGATCCGTCTCATGCCTAAACTATTGGTAAAGGTCGAATGGCAGGAGCCAATCGAAATATTTAGGTCCTTAGCAACTTCTATAACGGTGATTCGACCATTGGACAATACCATTTCCTTCACTTCATCAACGTTTTCGTCTGTTGTTGACGAATATTCGGAATGCGTCCGCACACTTAACTTTGTTTTTCACAAAAAATTCGACAGATTCGTTTATCCATTTTTTAGAATAGGGAAAAATCGAAGACGAGCGAAAACACATGCAAGCAAAGTATTAACGAAAATCGAATATTCGTTACCCCCTCGGAAATTCACAATTCGCGAAATTTTTGGAACACATACACATAAAATGGAATTTTGGAATAAGAATTTTTTATAAAATCTAGGTTTTCTTGTGACAAAATCCTTCAAAAGTATACGAATGAAGTGTACCATTGTTTTTAATGCAATAAATTAAGACAACCTTCGTAACCATTACATTTAACAACAAATTTCTTTGAGTTTGATTATTTTACGTTTACCTGGCATAACATCGGCGTTGGTACTAAATAGAACGCAAAGTCCCGTCTCGTAGTTGACGGCCCTGCAGGAATCGTTTACTTGGCAAGATTCAAGACAATCTGACAACATTAAAGTTCCCGGGACGGAATCCAAAACATTTCCGGGAGCAGACAGGACATATCCGGTTGCTAGTTCAAAGTGCACGTTGTCCGCGTTACAGCTTTCAGATAAAATTGGAAGGGGAGGGCCTGTTCCGCCACTTTTCGCTGATAACGGGGGCGCTTGGATCAAAGGAATTTTTACTAGAGCAGGAGGCGTTGCTTCCGATGAGTAGTTTGCATACGTAGAGCGAAACGTAGACATGGCAAAAATGAGTAACAGTCGAATAAGTTTATCCATTTTTCAGATGTATCTGTAAAAAAAGAAAAACGCTTTTTAAAATACAAATTTCTAATTTTGAGAGAAAGCTACTTTCTCTTTTTTTATCTCCTTCTTCTTTTTTTTTTCTTAATAATGGGCATCTATAACGATGTATAACTTTTAGTTTTAGATTATTTCAGTTAGGTCACATTAGATTACGTTATCGATTCATCTCATTTAAATCAACATCTTGTCGAGAGTTTTTATAGTTAAAAACGAATTGTTTCATTTATATTTTATAAAATATTCATAAATCAGATAATACAAACTACATTTCGATAAGGAATAGTGACATCAGCTTCAAGCTAAATTTATGGGGATTTAGTGGATACCTGTAGCGACAGCGAAGGCAAAACCTTTGCAATCGTCTGTCAAAAATTAAAAAAGGAACAAAGAACCATAAGTGTTCGACTTATGATATATTTAAAAATTATATTCAATAAAATAAAAGTAGCGAAAGAGCGAATATAAAGATANTTTTAAGTACTAATCAACAAAAATATCTTCCTCTGTAGAATGTGCTGAAGATTTGACGACTGCATCGGGAACTCCCGGTGCTTTGGACGATAGCATGATTTGTACCACCGGTAGACAAAATGTGGCAACTTGCGGTGGTGACTCTGGCAGTCCATTGGTACAAAACGGTGTCCAATATGGGATTGTGTCGTGGGGTATCGGACCATGTGGTAGCACTATTGCGCCATCTATCTACACCAGAGTTTCAAACTATACCAATTGGATTAAAGCTAATTTGTAAAAAAAATATCTGCCACCCCTTTGGTAGTCAATCTGTACACAAAACCTAACACTGAATAAAAGACGCTTTACTTTCAAATTACATTCAGCATGATGAAATATTTAAGTACGTTATTACATTTGTCATATTATTTGAGTTAAAACATTGTGCCTCATCATAAAGATTGTTAAATTGAAGTTGGATGTGGGTTGTTCTAGTTTTAGGGAAATGCGAAGATTAGCTCAGGATAGGAAAGAGTGGAGGTACGTGTCCAACCAGTCTTAGGACTGACGACGCTATGATGATGATGATGAAAATAAAAAGACTTTACACTAAAAATATTGTATCAAAAGTAATGAAATTCATTTCGTCAATAAGGCCGGTGCGTCAAGCATGGACTATAGGGCGGCAGCAAGTCTAAATCCGCCACTGATACTACCCCGTTCGGCTTTTATAGCGATCGTAAAAACCTGGACAAATAACGTATGTCGTGTGTGCATAAAGTTGTCACAGTACCCTACATACATATGTATACGTATACAACATGCACATTTGCATACATACAAGGACACACATAAATATACGCGGACATATATATCCCTTCTCTCATCCTGGAATATGCTTTTATCCCCTCAGGTATCAGGAGATCAAAATAACATGCCGCTTACTAAACAGCTGCTTGCTCCTGAATAAATCCGCGAGTATATGTACACGGAGACAGGCACGCATTCGCTCACCTACTTACACGCCACCACTATTACACGAGTGTACATATGCATTTGTACACACATGTTTGTATGTATACGTGGATATTTGTGTCGTCTTTCCCTCCTCGGTGGTAGCAGGTGTATAACGTTATCCGAATGCCGAGGGTGTTTTGGTTACGAATGTGCCTGCGAGCTTATTATTTGTTGCGAAGTAAGCGCTGAGCGGAGACGTGCATTGTAACTGAAACAAAAGGCTCTATCGCTTTTTAATCGGAGGAATACGAGATAAAATCGAGGCGAAATATTCCAGTGCACATATTTATTGGTCTGATTGCTTCATTAGTTTTAAAGCAATTGTAGAAGTAGGAATAATCTTCGTAAGAGTACGTGTTTAAAAGCGGGGTGTCACAAAACTGGGATAGCCCGGCGGTAAACCCGATAGAATCAGCGGCTTATCGTAGTTAATAAATTGAAATCAGACTGATGCATACCGTGGATAGAGAAGGTTAGAAATGAAGAGGTATTAGAAAGAATAGGAAAACAGAGGACTCTATGGAAATCAATAAGTAGTTGGCGAGATAGGTTGGTAGGGGACACCTTCAGGCATGAAGATCTCGTCAGAGACATATAAGAAGCAGAAACGGAAGTTAGGAAGGGTAGATTAACTCACGATAGGAAAGAGTCGAAGTGCGTGTCCAACCAGTCTTAGGACTGACGACCGATGGTAATGTAGTGTTACTATATGGGTCATAAGGTCAATGGGGTTAAGGATTTAAAGGATTGTGGAAGAGTTAATTGGTTACGGTTTTTTTTTGATGTTATGTCCAAATCCAGTCGTGCCTAGATTAGATTGACCGCGCATTTGGAGTAACCAGAAACATTCGGTATACGTAGTCAAACCCACGGACGAACTTTTTAAACGGTTTCAGTGGATTTTGGGCATTGGAGTTTAAGCCTTTTGGTATGTGTATCTGTAATTTATTCCATCGATCAGTAATAGAACCCGGGTATAAAAATGAATAACGGTATCAGGAGATCAGACACAGTTTCAGTGAATTTTGAAGTGTTATTTGCAGTTATGTCCAAACCCTAACGTGATCGGATTTGGATTCAACGAACCCAAAAACATACGAGGGCGGTTCAATAAGTACCCGTGTTAGACATGAAGATACCTTTTTTTTTAACTTTGTTTTTTTATTTTTAACATAGTCCCCTTTTAGAAGGATACACTTCTCCCAACGACCCTGCCATTTTTTTTACACCTCCAAAAAATAAGATTTGTCCCGCAAATCCCCCCCTGTCTCGGCGATGACTTCCTCGTTTGAGCTAAATTTCTTTCTCGCTAGTCATTTCTTCATGGTAGGGAACAAGATGAAGTCGCAGCGAGTCAAATCGAGTGAGTACGGGGTGTGCGGCAGCAAATTCATAACGTAATTCATGCATTTTGGCGGCAACAACTCCTGATGAATGTGCCGGTGCGTTATCTTGTTGAAAACGCACCTTCTTTTTCGTCAAATGCGTCCGTGTCTCCTTCAATTTTTTGTCGAAGCGGTCCAATAACTCACTGTAGTATTGTCCAGTGATCGTTCTTCCTTTTCCTAAAAAATCCGTAAAATGATTTCTTCGGAAACAACGTTTGCCAGGCTTCCTGGTCGCTCCTCTCAAAAACGGATCTTTGCCCACGTTTAAATTCGTTGAAGCAATATCTAACTGTGGTCGTAGATGGCGAAATGTCTCCATAAACAGTATCCAACTTTGTTTTCATCTCCTCGCATTTCTTCCCATCCAGAAACAAAAAGCGAGTTACCGAACGATACTGCTCTTTTTCCATCTTATCGAAAATAACGAAGCACGTCTGAGTGGAATGGCAACCAAATCCAAACTAACCTATCAATCAGTCTGAAATTCAATTTGACGTGGTTCGATAGATGGCAGCACACGATGACAACACCAATTTTCTTCTGGAACGTCCTTTGTCTTCAAACACGGGTACTTATTGAACCGCCCTCGTACTGTAGTTTTACATTTTTTTATGCGCCTGTATAATAAATGCAATTGTTATAACCGATAAGCAATTTTGATAGCGGAATGATCAGTATATTGAAACAAAAAACGCCTTCATTCTTACATCGTCAAATGTCCGAATCGTCTGTCATCATTATAATAATGATCGATGCAAAGAAACTGCAATGGTGAAGGTCAGTCGCGGTGTCTAACTAAAATCGTCCAGACTAGCGAAGGCACCGCACAAGACGGTAAAAAAAGACTGAAAACTCGGGCGGACAAAAGGACGAGACGGTCTCTACAAAACCTGGACGTGAAGTTATGTTGATAATAATTAAGTGCTGCTCGCGGTCAGACAGTGGGCCGTGCAATTTTAGGGATACCGTCGTTGAAATTGTATTAAAAATTCCACGATAAAATTATACATTGGATGTGATTTTTTTGGTCTGAAGTTAATATTATTGTTGTTCTCTTCTAATTTTATTACCTTCGTTATTATACATTAACTCAACATCATCCCTTTCTTCTTAAAACACTCTCCAGAGATAGTTTTAAAGTCTAGAATTTTATATTGGGTGAATTACATTTTATCCAGTTATACTTAGCCTTGGCTCCCAAACTCCCAACACCACAATCCTGACAGCTATAAGCCAGACAGCTAAAATTCCAGCAATCCAAAATCCCAAACAAAAGGAAAAGAAACTAGTGAATGTTGGATTAAGTTAAGGTTAAGTTAAAGTTAAGTTAGTTTCTTCTCCAGTATTTAATTGTTTGCCTCCGCTAGTGTTGTACAAGCCCCCAACACCCCCCCCCCCTTAAAAGTGACAAACGAAGAGGCAACTGTTAACTTTTCAAGTATAGTCCAGTAGTCAGAGATAAAAAAACGTTCAAAATTTGTAGTTTTTGGCGTATCCAAAGAGTTATTAACCATAGTGCTTTTTTACAAGCAATAATTAACAAAGGTGCAGCTTCGTTGTTTATTGTCCGATCTTGACCGGGTTGGACTAGAAAAATCTCAAATTTCTTCAAGTTTAAGAATTTTTTTTCGATTTTTAAAAATATTTATTAGAACAGATTTTATAACGTTTTTTACGCAACCACTTCTTATATAGCGTTTTTTGGAAATTTCTGACATTCTCACTATAATATCTTGTAAGAACGCTTCAAAACGCGCATTTTAAAAGAAAAGAATGTCCAAGGACCCCAGAGAGCTGAGATAATTTTGTTTTTGAATATAAAGGAATTAATTATAATATTGGATCCAACAAAAAATACCTGCTCAAAATCCCTGGCTACTGGACTAATACCACACCATCCCTTTCAAAAGTAGCATGTTAAATAGAAGTAGGTCATTAAGGCAGCGTAAGAGAAGTTATTCTATGAACTATTCGTGTCTCATTGGTAAGGCAATAAACTGCAGACTAATGTCATTTTAACAACTTGGAGATGCATTTGCGTTATTTTGGGTCGTCTACAAATTGCACGTATCTATCTAGTTCTGCGCGCGGTTGGTCGAAGTGGCAGACAGTGAACGTGCAAGCGTTA